TAGGTGTACGTGGCTGGCGCCCCAGCCGGTTGAGCTATAGGCGTCAAGCCAGGACACGTATTATTCATGGGCAGTACAGCTTGAGCTGGAGGTGGGCTAGGGTGGGCCTCCTGGGGTTGCTGCACTCTCCTGCCTAAACCTATGGGGTGCACAGGGTTCTAGTCTGGGAGCATTCATGATCAGTGAGAGCAGGCTGGAGTAGCCTCCCCCAGATTGTCAGGGAAGGGGGCAGCAACTATGTGGGGTGAGGGGGAAGGGCTGAGGCCTAACTATGCCCAGGTGACCAGAAGCCCCACACAGGCCCCAGGGGACACACTTGGCTACCCAGAGGCCAAGTGGCCTCAGAAGCTCCAGCCTCACAGACCATACACAAGGTCATGTTGGCTGTGGATGGGGCAGCCTTCACAAGAGTAGGATGCCTGCAGGTGGGGGAGTGTGATCTGCCCAATTCCCCGGGAAGCAGCAGCCCTCCCCAGACATGTCTCTTATAACTGGGAGCTTGCTGCTTTCTGAAGGGGTGTTTTCTTGAAAGTTTGGGCCAAAAACGTGGGTGCACATTATACAGAGGAGGGCATTAGATATGGTGAAAGATGGTAGGTGCCTCTGGTTGCTCCCATTGCAGCTGTGCTGCAGTACATGTAAAGGAACACAAAAGCAAACTAGAAATTTACCGAAATTAACATACGTCCACACAGAGACATCTCCACTTTTGCCTACAGTGGTCATGGTTTTCTATACAGTTAAGAGTCTCGAGACTAGTACCACAAATCAACTCGCTTCTCTTAACACCTTCAGATTTTACATGCTGACTAAATTTCTGAATGCTGGCTTTTTCCTGTTCTAGGGAAAGAGCTTGCCAGTTAAAGCACCTTGAGAAGATCGAAGACATCATCTGCATCCAGCCGATAATCACAGAGGCGGTGTAGAATCTCTACTCGAGTACGTAGAGGCAGGTCTTGGAAACTGGCTTCTCTCAGTGGGTTGGGTTTCCCTTCCTCAAGTTCCCAACGGTAGTTGATGATATCTTCTAGGTAGCTGTGGAATGTCTGAGGCCTAAACAGATGATCCCAAACACAAAAACACATTAATATGAAATAGAGGATGGCTGGGAAAAGGGGAGAGAGGACTGACTGATGGTCTGACTGCTGACACCTGTTAACAGAAAGCAGAAATGAAAAAATGGCACCAGGAAGACCCCACTGAAGTGTATTGCATTTAATACAATTGGATGTTGTATTTCTCAAACCTTAAAGATGAATACATTAAGAGGGATTTTCACTAAACATGTTGTTTTACTTTAAGGCCCCAACAGCACATTCTGGTGAAATGGGTTTAAGTTTTAATAGTCAAGATTATGAGCTGAGCCAACAGTTTCACCCTGTGCTCATACTATGCAGTTCACACAGATACTCTGTACAAAATTGGGTTCATGACTCTTACAAAGCAGAAAAAAAGAAACTCACAGTCTGTCTAGCTTAATTTATTTATATTTCAAGTTACGATACAAAGGTGAAACATTTCTCCAGAATACCAGCGAATATTCTAGTATACAAGAATTTGTATCTGAGGCCTGGTGTGGGGGCTCACGCCTATAATCTTAGCACTCTGAGGCTGAGGTGTGGGGATTGCCTGAGCTCACAGGTTTCAGACCAATTTAAGCAAGAGGGAGACCCCTATCTCTAAAAATAGCCGGGAGCTGTGGTAGTCCCAGCTACTCAGGAGGTTGAGGTAAGAGAATCCCTTGAGTCCAAGAGTTTGAGGTTGCTGGTGAGCTATGATGCCATGGCACTCTATTGAGGACAACAAAGTGAGACTCTGTCTCAAAAAACAACAACAACAAACCCAATCTATCTTTTTTTAGTAGGGGTGGGAGGTTGCTACAGGTTCTTGCTCTCTTACGTGGGCTAGAGTACAATGGGGTCATCACGACTCACTGCAACCTCAAACTCCTGGCCCAAATGTTCCTTCTGCTTTAGCCTCCAAAGTAGCTGGGACTATAGGCCCACACCTTCACATCTAGCTAGTTTTATTTTATTTTTGTAAAGATGGGGTCTAGCTATGTTGTTTAGGCTGGTCTCACACTTTTGGCCTCAAATAATCCTCCTGCCTCAGCCTCCCAAGTAGCTGGGACTAAACAAGTATGCACCCCCCCCCCCCAGCAAACTGCATATTGAGTAAGTATCTAAATGTGCCTTGGCTATAATAAAATGCTTTTCTTAACTGGTTATTCTGGATCTCCACTGTAGAAGTATCTAGATATAATTTAACTCATGCTTGATGTGAATTTTTTTCCTTACTAATAAGAAAGAAGTCTAAAGAAGTTGTCAATACCATTTAAAATTAAGGCATATACCATGTTGACTTATGATCTATAGTAGTTGTAATTATAGAAAGAGAGAAAGGAAATATTCATGGAAGAGATCTAGGAGTCTCAGGCAAGTAAAAGAACCAAACATTTTGCTCTTTGAAAGAGAGAATTTCTTTTCCTTACTATTACTATCTCATGGGGAAAATTTGAGTATGTTAACTTATCAAAATTTGGCCTAATAGTTCTGAATATATCTCAAAATTTGATTTGATTGAAGCATTTGCCTTCATAGCATAAGCACTGGCATATTAACAACCTGCTAGAATCTTAGAGAGATACACTGGCTTCCTCACTCCATTGTCTGAGAAGCTGGTGCTGCTCCTTCAAAAGTGAGGAGCTAGGGAAAGAATACTGCAAAAATACAGCCTTAAAAATAAGGGCTGTTTTCTTTTTTGTTTCGACTCTATCTCACTATGTTGCCCTTGGTAGAGTGCCATGGTGTCACAGCTCACAGCAACCTCAAACTCTTGGGCTTAAGTGATTATCTTGCCTCAGCCTCCCAACTAGCTGTGACTACAGACGCCTGCCACATCACCCAGCTATTTTTTATTGCAGTTGTCATTGTTGTTTAGCTGGGCCAGGCCGGTTCGAACCATAAATCTTTGTCCACCACAGATAGGATTTTGAGAATTTCTAATACACACCAAGTTCTGCAGACAACAGGTCATGTTTTTGTTGCAGTGAAACAAAATAATGACTCTGTGATGAGGAGACTATTTCCCTAGAATGGCACCTCTAGCTCCAAGGGAGGACACTGAAGAAGGCAGGCTGAGCTGGGCAAGGGAGCCCTTTCTTATTCCAATGTGGGATAAAGAACACACAGGCACGCCAGCCAGACAAACACTGTATGTATATAAACAGTGCTGCTCTTTGTGCCTATATCTGTCTGAAAGCTCCTCCATGTCTCAAAGAATTGCATGTTTGAGATTCCTTCTGAACAGCCCCATTGCCCTACTTAGTTTCTTACTTTTTTTTTTTTTTT